TCTTATTCCGCATATCTTATTATCATATGAGACTATTTAGTTAAAAAAGGGTCAAGGGTATGCACGATCTTTATAATCTATTTTGCTATACGTGAAGAAAGTGTTATATACAACCCTAAACTAGTTTAAATGACAACAACAAAACTAAAAATATTTCTTAGTCCAAAGACTACAGATCTTATTCGGTTCAATGAAAGCAAGCTGAAGCTACTGAATTCATTTTCTAACGTATCCTAGGATACGTCTGCATTTTGTAAAATATGCGGCTATCAGTGTTATTTACTCCAATCTCATAAATATAAAACATAAAACCATCCATCTGCCTACAATTCTGAAGAATGTGGAATCAAAATGGCTTTCTTAGCTAATTTGCGACAACTCAATCCTCCTTCTACGTCAACTAAGACATAAAAAGCTTTCTAACCTATTTTGTAGGTACGAGGGTTCTCTTACGAGTCTCCTACTTTGGTTGACAGTATTCTGAGATCTTTGATTTCGAAACATGATACAATCTTCTATAAAAACATCACTTCTTCTATAAAACTTTAGCTGTTTTAAAGTGTCATTTCTTTTTAATTTTTTTTTTATTTATTACTTTGAAAGATATTGAAACTATCCTTTTTAAGTATATTCCTTTGATAATCGTAGATAACAAAATTGAGTTTGTAGTCTTCATAACACCGCTTAAATATCATGAAAGTTCTTTTTTGAAAGGCAAATAGATCCGTTATGAACATATATTCCTATTCGATATACAGTATACATAGACCTCTCTTGTCGAGCTTAGTATTTTAGGGTAAATGATTTTTATTGTTAAGGTCCACTAAATTCTTTCATCAATGTGACATATCTTTCTATTAAATTCGCTTTTATAAACTGTGATTATAAATACAAATGTCATTCTTTAAATATATGAATTGATAAATATCAGAAACAGTTTGTCTGTTAGAAGACAAGCTTTGAGTGTGCCTATTGATGTAGCATGAAATGCTTCAATCGAAAGTTTGCGGATAACGGATAGACAGTAAAAGAAATAATAATCCATAGTGGAAAGATACCCCCAAGTGGGTGTAAGGCAATGCGAGTAAGGCTGTTTTCTTCCTTTCTAAATTATAAACAATTTTCTAGTATAACTAACCTCAAAATATGATATATTGTTCTTAAAGAAATCTGGTATTTTTATAATAGCATGAATTTTATATTATGTCCCAACTGACGCATACTGCGCGGATCTCCAAAAGTGAAATTACTGTAAATTTGGATTTTTTATTAAAATCAAAGCTAAATTATTTGTGATTATGTCTCAATGAACGCATCTATATTTATCTTCATTGGTTTCCAGTAAATGTATACAGTATACAATAATTTTCTCTAACTGTTATATCCTAAAATGTGAACTACTGAATATTATAAATATCAAAATTTCAAGTAAATAGCTTCTTACAGGCAAAGAGTAAATTTTTCGGAAAAAATTAATATTAAACTATGAGCACTTTAAATGATTTAGAGGAAACTGAAGCACTTAAACTTTGCACAAAATGCATATAATTCAAAACTATAGAATATAGGTAAATATCTTTCTATGTGAAGCTCTGAATTTTGAAAACAATTTTCCGGTATCGAACCTATCCTGAGGGTAGGTAGAAGGCACACACTTTACAAGAAAAATGTTTGCCATAATAATAATAATAGCAGTAACTGCACCCAACCATACGGCAGCCATAACCGCCGCAGCCGCGGTAGAATTATTGAGATACAGCAGCTGTAGAACTTTACCAGTTGATGGCGAATATTGAACAATTTATTTTTGTATTTAACTCTGTTTGTGCCTTGACTTCGGTTTTTACGATTATTTTGAGATTTTCGCCCAAATCCAATAACTTTAAACACATAAATCTCACTTGGTGTCCGCTAAATTATATACTTTATAACATTAGGTTACACTTTGTTTTTCCCTATGAAACAACAACACAATCCGTACTTTAAAACAACAAAAGCAAATCACAAAAAAAGTAATTCTTAAGCCTAAATAAAAGTTTATAGCCAAGAAGCTAAAAGCTAAGCGAGGACAAAATATTATCTCTGACGGTTTTACAAAACTATCGTACTCGAGATCAATCGATCGGATCTGTATGACTTAAGCGCTGTGCCATGATCGATATTTTTCGCTTAAGGATAAAGTTTAACGCGATTGTTTATGATACAAATTAAACAATTTATGACAATACAAGTACGGCAACGACTCGAAACGGCAACCGTACATGAAGCGGTACGTACAAGTAGCGCCGACAAGTAAAGCAATTGTCTCAGCTGAAAGCAGCAGTTGCCGCTGTTGTATGCAAAATAAATGCGCTAAATTGCAACTTAAAAAGGGAAACAAACAATGCGAAAACAGACTCAATTGAAGTCCTCTCCCAGCAAAGCAGTACGGAATACAATGCACAGAATGCAGATACAGAAGCTTTAGGCGGATTTGAGTTGTGTGGTGCGATCAATTTTCCTACACATACACGTTCAATAGTAAGTCAAAGCGGCATCCCCTGCCACTGCCAACTGAAGTTCTGCAAAGCCCCTAAAATAGGTGTGCTTGCGGTGCTCTTGCATTACGCATACTTTCCCTGCTGCATTTACTATATCGAGTGGTGCGGTGCATTGCGTCAACCGCTGCTCGGTGGCTATAAATTATAACACTCACTGTTTTTTTCGTTCAATGTTTTTGCTGCTTTTAGAGTTTTTTTTTTTTTTTTTGGTTTACTTAAACGCTCATTTATTATAAATTTTATCGCTTCTGGTCTCAATTCTTTTATCGGCGTACTTGACTTTACAATTTTCAACCGAAAAAGTGTAACAACAACTGCAGCAACTACAAATTTTGTATATAAATATTGCACATAATTGATTTAATACTTTCGATTATCAGTAATTTATATAAATTTTTTATTTTATTAAATTTGGCAATTTTGTTAATAAAAGTTTATTTTGTTTTTTTTTTTTTGGTTTATTGCAGCATCCCGTATGGCATCATCGCATACATCACCTCAAGTGTGTCGGCCCCACTTTCATCCGCCCCTGAGTTCATGGCTTACCAGCGAACATAAATCATTTGCGCCTGCCAGCCCATGGGGTAGTCCGTTTGCATGCCCTCAAGATCCGCAAGTTGACCATAAGGTCGGACAGATTGGCCAAAGTCATCAAACGACAACGGGCCAACATTCATTTCCGTTCCCACCAACACCGCCAAAGGATTCAACACCCGATTCAGTACAAACCGGTCCATCGGAATATCAGGTAAATGAATGTTTTGTTGAGAAAGGAAGAAAATATTTGCAAGAACACAAAGATTTTTCGGTGAATTATGTTTATTGTTTTAAATTGGGGGAAGATTAAGATTGGTTACTTTTATGCAAATTAAGGAAGCATATAAATAATTTCATTTAATAATAAGGATACATATTAATAATTTTATAGCAATAACAGAAAAATACAAGTAGTAAGACAGTATGATTACTTATATACAATAACTAAAAAATTTTAACTCAAACTTTATAATAGAACAGTAATCCGTATTCAGTTCAAATATGATCTATATTTAAAAACTAAATAAATACGTACGTATTTAAATTTAATGCTGAAGTTATTCATACCAGTAGCCGGAGATTTTTTTATGAAAAACCTATTTGCACAATTTGTTAAATAAACTATACATAAATCAAAATAAATAAAAGTGATGTGGTTTCGGAATTATGCACCTGATCTGAATATTGATCTTAAACTTGTGAGATACTCTTAACAACCTCAGCTAGTTTAACACGACTGGTATCAAACATATGCTTAGTACCACTATATAGTTTCCGCTAATTTGAACTAGTTAATATTTTCATTCAACAGATATTGTACGATTCATCAACAGACTTAACCTGTCCAGGTTATTGCAAGTGACTCTCTCTAGAGATAAATACACTTTTAGTGCCTCCACATGGCTCCCGCTAAATCGAAAAAGTTGATATTTTTATCCAACAGATATTGTAAGATTTATCAACAGACTCAACCTATCCGGGTTACCGTAAGTGACTGTCTGTAGAGATAAGTATACCTTCGTATGGATTTCACTGAACAGAACTAGCTATAGATGACTCTAACCACATATAACACAGATCTTATAGATGGTGATACACCATTGCATATGGTAATATAGGGTTGTACCATAAATTCTTAGTTAATTTTATAATGGAAAAGTTGTTTATAAAAAAAGGAAAGCTTTCTTAAGGTTAACTAGTACATATAATTTAAAAAAAAAAACATCTATCTAATCAAAGTATTACTACTTTGTAGCGCAGAACTTAAGAAAAGTAATGAAATTACAAGAATCCGAATATACTCATATACTAAAGAGAGCAGTAAACTAATATTACATTTCACATTTGACTTAATAATTTTTAAATTTATAATTTTTTTTTTTTTGAATTGCAGGCCGTTGTAAATGCCTTCATGCATCAAGCACAAGTTAGTGGCGCTACCTCACTATCAGATGCAAGTTGTGCGTTGGACATAAAACCCACAATACAAAATGGCAGTAGCGGTTCACACAATGGCAGTCAACAGTCGTCGGCGCCGAAACAACGTGAAGGTACTAATAATACAAATAACAACAATAACAATAATACAACAAATAATCACAATGCACAAAATAACAACAATAATGCCGGCAATACAAATTCAGCGCTTAACGGCAGTGGCGGCCTATTTGACAACACAGCGCAAGCGCATTATGCGAATAGTCTGGGTAATTTAGGTGGTTGTGCTGGTGTTTCCGGTGTTGCTGGCAGCACGGGTAGCAGCAGCACTGGCGGTGGCTATGACGGTTCATACGCCTCATATGCGGTACATCATCATGCTAGCGCGGCGGCAGCGCATCATCAAGCGGCCGCTGCTGCTGCAGCTGGTATGTTTCAAAGTTCCTCCGCTGCAGCTGCGGCTGCAGTACGACACAGTATGTCCGGTGGTGGCCATCATGGTCATCACGGTGTGGGAAGTTCGGGTGGTTTAGGTGGTATCGGTGGCAACAGTCAAAACAGTGTAGTCGATGTGAAACCGGCGAGAACGAAACCAAGGACTAGTGCTGGTAAGCAAGACAAAATTTGACGCATTCTATTTTAATGTAATGGTGTGGGTGAATACTAACACTATTTTTTTTGTTTAGATGTTACACCTAAAATGTGTGTACTCATTGTTTTATATATATATATGTATTATTTTTCTGTAATTATTTTAAGTTATTATTATTTAAAATTATTGAAATATTTATTTGTGATTATTTTAATGCACTTAAAGCACATATTTGATTTCAATTTATATAGTAATTTTTGTTTAATTTGTAAAAAAAAAATGATTAATTTAAGTTCGTGGGAATTGGGAAATTTGTATGACTTTGAAGCCTAAAACAAACTCTTAAGTCTATAAGTTAAGTCAATGCTGTTTAGGTTATTTTTGATACTTAAACATGATCGAAGCCCTTAAGTTTGTTCCATACACTGCGCTTAAAATGCAACCCTAGGCTGATATGTTATCGTCTTTATTCAAAGCCACGTTTAAGTGCGTCGTCTGTCGTCAATACTTCAACGCAATTCAACGCAAATTTGATGAGAATTCATGTTAAGAAAAAAATCCGTGCGAACCATCGTGAAGTCACTACAATTTCTCTCCCCAACGTCTTCAATATTCGTAATTACACTCCCCCGTCCGTCGTTCGCATAATTCGCTGACATAAATTCACACGACAAACTCTTTTGCATACACGTATGCGTCAACGTCTTGACATTGCAACTTGTCATTGTTATACTTACGCTTACAACAACTAAATCTGCTAAGTTGTTGTTGTTGTTGTGGTTAATTTTTCGCTGTTTCTTTCATTTCTCCTCCTTGCTTGCTTATTTGTTTTTTGAATTTTGTTTTTATTTATTGCTGTTTTTTTTTCCAGTGTTGTGTTTTTAATAATTTTGCATCTGACATGCGCGCTGGCGCGGAAGTGCCAATGCACCTGCTTTACTCTGCGGTGTTGCAGGGGCAGTATCCACCGGTTCAGCGTTGACTTTTGCTGCGCGCATGCGTGCTTAGTGAAATACATTAATTTCATTTCATTTACAACTTCTACTTTTTCTTCAAGTATCGCGTTATGAAGAAATCGGCCGTTTGTTTGTGGCATTACATTTTGCTCACATCCAATGGTAGAGAGACAAGGTGCGTTCGTAGTACTTGCAGATGCCAATGACTTTTCTTTTGAGGTAGAAATTTTCGACTTCCCCAACGTGAAATTTGTATAATTTTGTATCTTAAAGATTATTTAAAATTCAATTAACTTGCAAGGAGAGTTAATGATGCAATTTCAAGTCGAAGACGAAGTGCACTTAACGCATTGTTGATACGTTAATTTCCACGATTAATTAATATTAATGTTTCATATATAAATAAAAATATACCAAATAACTATGAGGGATAGAAGAAGAGCTAGGAATCGATGGCTGGATGCAGTAAAAACCTATTTAAGAATTATGAATATAAGAAAATAAAGAATTAAGAAAATACTCCTTTGTACTGAAGAAAGACTGTGAAGAAGCTCTGACTCACACCGGGTTGCAATAGTTCAGAATGATGATGTGAGAGTTAGAGTGAACTAAAAAAGATATAGTAGTATTAGTCCGCACCGGATTGCTGTGAAAAAGCTGTAATTCACGCCGGGTTGTAATAGTTAAGAGTGATGATGTGAGGGCTAGAAAAATCTAAAAAAAAAGATAGTAATATTAGGCCGTACCGGATTGCTGTGAAGAAGCTCTAACTCACACCGGGTTGCAATAGTTAAGAATAATGATGTAAGGGTTAGAGTAAACTAAAAAATAGATTGTAGTATTAGACCGCACCGGATTGCTGTGAATAACTGACTCACACTGAGTTGCAATAGTTAAGAATGATGATGTAAGGCTTAGAGTAAACTTAAAAGGAGGTAGTGGTATTAGTTCGAACTGAACTGTTATAGTTAAGAATGAGGATGGATGTGTTATAGTAAACTAAGAGAAAAGTACTGACATTGATCCACACCTTCTTCATATAGATAAGCAATATAATGTAAAGTTTCAAGTAAGCTTAGAAAGAGATTCTAGTATTGGTCCACAACGGGTTGCAAAAGTTATGAATGTTGACGGTTAGGCTATAGAAAGTAAGGGGAAAATACTAATATTGACACTGTTACATGCGGTTAAGCAAGATGCAGGTGTCAAGCTAAAAAGCTTCCTTTTCTATGAAAATATTTGATGAAAGAAGAAAAGCCAAACTTTTCAAGAAAAATTCCTTTAAAATCTAGAAAAACTATTTTTAAAGAGTCCCAATAACTTCTTTTCTGTTATCTTAAGTCTGTTATGATAAGTCTGTCAAATATGATCTATAAGAAATTTCTGCTCCCAAAAATTATAAAAACAAGTAGCAATAACTAATCAATATCAGTGTTTCAATTAAAAAAGCTAGAAGAATCCTTCCTTATTTAGATAATGATTTGATAAGTTGAATAAAAAAGGAGGAGAAAGTTAAAGCAAATTCTACAAGCTAATAAGAAAATAATGGACGAGGAGAAAGTGAAAGCAAATTCTATAGAAACAATCTCTTTTTAGAAATGGAAAAACTAGGAAAACTAGGAGCCCTAACATGTTTTATTCACCTATTTTATTCGTATTCGTACGATTTTATATCTTATAATATAATTTATAAGCAGTTTTTATTAAAAAAAATTATGAAAACAAGTAACAGTGACTAATCAGTGTTAGTGCTCCAAATAAGAAATTTAATTAAAGAAATTGACTAACATATTCCAAATGTCTCACATGCCTTTATGAAAATCTCCTAAGAATTTACTATTCAAATGCCTTTCCATAAAACTTTCCTCACCAAAACCATTTGTCTTTTCGCACATATTCTCTACCAGACAGAGTTGGAAAGAAAAGATACAACAAAATGATTTATTGAAACTGCAATTTCGCATATAAAACAAATGCAATGAATTATTTGCCACTACCTCAGCTTCGACTGCGACTGGAACTGTGGCTTCGCCTTCGACTTTTCTTGTTACTTCCTTGTTAAAATTATTGTACGTGCGACTGAATTATTTTGCAAATATCATGAGAAATAAATAAAATTTTCGCAGAAAAGTTGCAAAAATAAAAAAAATTAACTTAACAAAAATATACGGGTCTTCTGCAGTGAAGAAGAAATGAACGAAGCCGCTAAAGAGTTTGATGCGCATATTAAATTTCCGCATATTAGCATAGTAGCACACTTGTATCTCAACCCAGTACATTGTTCAAGTACGAGTATCTTTTTAATATGTAAGATATAAAAAAGAAAATATATACTTTTTTTTAATTTATAATAGAAACGTTACTTTTATTATATATGGTATTGTATATGAATATGCCTACCTTTGTTTGTGTATGTAGGGTGTATATGCACATTAGTTTAAAGTTTTTAGTTTTGGATTTTTATATATTTTTTTGTTATATTCTTCTTCAATAAGTCAATGCACAAGTGTTTAATTTGCACCCAGTATAGCTTACATAGAGCAGCACAATTTAGTGTAAAAATCTTGAAATGCACAAAGCATGTTTTAAAAAATTATATAAAAAATATTAATTTAAATAAAATGAATCAATCATATTTAACAAATTAATATTTTAAAGAAATATTAAAATATATTAATTATTAGCTGTCATAGTATCCGTTTTCAATGTTGTTAAAATATCTGTTAATGATTCTGTTAAGACAATGTGCAGAGCTGCTATTTAACATAAGTTATGTTGGCACGTTTGTTGCTTGAGTCTACTGTTGATTAATACCCCATGCAAGTTAGTTAAAAGTAACAAAAATATAATAAAAAAAATTAATTATTTAAAAATTTATTAAAAAAATTAAAAATATTTAGTTAAATACTTTGAACAATTAAAAAAATAAAAAATCTTAAGCATAAAATTTACATTTGACAAAATGTTGCAACGTTGGTTAAATTGCTTTGAAAATGTTGACAATGATCATGAAAATTAAGCAAATATTACTACCAAAATCACCTACTGCTGCCAAGTAATAAAATGTATATTTCTTCACCGGCCTACAGCAGACTCATACATACTGTATTCATGAGCAGATACAAAACGTTTTCATGTGAATCCGTAAACGGATTCAAATTGAATATAAGAAAAAACCACAGACTGTAGAGGCAACACAAGTCAAGTGACTTATAAGAATTGCCTGCTGCCAAGCATTTATTTTATTATTTGGGTGACAGTTCATTTTATTTTATTTTATTTTGTTTTTTTTTTGTTGTATTTTTACTTCATGTTCAGTATCTTTTTCAACTGAAATTTTTTTCTGCGAAGTCTGCAATTGTCTCTGATTTGAACCTTTTTTGTTGTACCATAAAAACTCAGACTGTGACTTCATTGCAGGTTTTATGTTCTTACAGGGTGTTTTCAGTTATTCTGTTATTATTGTCGTACACATGCAAAGGCTCATTCTTTATCAATAGCTTATCGTTGTGCGATAAGTTTCTGAGGCGCAAGAACATGTGTTGTTACTGCAAGTTGCAGATACATTTGTGAGATACACTAAACATACTGCTTCAGATATGAATTGCATTTGTGTGCTATATTTTATTGTTACTGCTTGTTGTTGTTCCTGTTGTTGCTATTGTTATTGTTGTTGTTATTGGTGGTGATGGTGCTTGCTACTGCTGTTTTGTAGCAATATTGTGCTGTTGATTGCATTTTTTTTTGAATTTTTTTTTCTATTCTTTTGGTTAATATTGGTTTTTAAGCTTTTTGTGGCTTATAATGATTGCATTAAGGTTTTGTTAGCAATGTACTCTTTTGCCAGCATTAAATTGATTGGCTTATATTTTGCCGTTTGTCAGGTGAAAATAAACTGAAATCGAAAAAAAAGAAGAAGAAACGTAGAACGAATATATATATTTTTTTTGCGGTTTAAGTTTAAGTAATTGATATGGGTAAGCATCCATTGAGGCTGAGCTGTCCATTGTTTTGTGCACTTTTGACAGCGCTTAAAAATGCGCTTAAAAGGGCGCTTGTG